TATGTAAATCACGAAGCTCAACTGCATTTCCTGCGGCACAGGAAAATTTTCAGCAACAAAAGAGTGATCAAACTAAGATCCTACATCTGTAAATGACTGAGAAACGGGACTATGGTGAAGATTTCCCTTCTCCAGAGCCCCATGTTTATACATACTGTTTGTTAATTATATTGCAATATAAAATACTTGAATACGTATAAGAGTTAAAATAAGGATAGTATGTAATATAATGAGGATGCAAACGTATGAACTGATAGTGACCATAGTGTACGAGAGGTGGTGACCCTATCCCATCAGGGAAATTAATCAGATTGTAAATTACAGTAACACTCAGGACAGTTGCTGTCCACTCCTCTGTCTACAGTATACTCTCCTCAATCGACAGTATACTCTCTTCTATCTACAGTATACTCTCATCTATCTACAGTATACTCTCCTCTGTCTACAGTATACTCTCTCCTCTATCTACAGTATACTCTCTCCTCTATCTACATTATACTCTCCTCTATCTACATTATACTCTTCTCTATCTACAGTATACTCTCTCCTCTATCTACATTATACTCTCTTCTATCTACATTATACTCTCCTCAATCGACAGTATACTCTCTCCTCTATCTACAGTATACTCTCCTCTATCTACAGTATACTCTCCTCTAAAGTTACTATTTACATATACATTTACATAATTTAGCAGACGCTCTTATCCAGAGCGACTTACAAATTGGTGCATTCAACTTATGATAGCAAGTGGGACAACCACTTTTTTTCTTCTTTTTTTAATGGGGGGGTGGGTAGAAGGATAACTTTATACTATTCCAGGTATTCTTTAAAGAGGTAGGGTTTCAAGTGTCTCCGGAAGGTGGTCAGTGACTCCGCTGTCCTGGCGTCGTGGGGGAGCTTGTTCCACCATTGGGGTGCCAGAGCAGCAAATAGCTTTGACTGGGCTGAGCGGGAACTGTGTTCCTGTAGAGGTAGGGGAGCTAGCAGGCTAGAGGTGGATGAACGTAGTGCCCTCGTTTGGGTGTAGGGTACTATGTTGTACCCAGAGCTAATAGCTACTGAAACTCTATCTTGACCTTGTTTTATCTGAGCACAGTGGTAGACTCCATTTTGTTAGCGAAGCAGGTAGAGGTACGGTGTGACTGCGACCTTAGCTTTGTCGTCATTAACCTTCCCGCCTATATTTAGGCCGCCCGCCGTTTGGTGGCGGTGGAGATGGGACCAGCTGAGGGAGGGAAGTTATTACCTACAGTCGTGGTCAAAAGTTTTGAGAATGACACAAGTATTGGTCTTCACAAAGTTCGCTGCTTCAGTGTTATAAGATATTTTTGTCAGATGTTACTATGGTATACTGAAGTATAATTACAAGCATTCCATAAGTGTCAAAGGCTTTTATTGACAATTACATTAAGTTTATGCAAAAAGTCAATATTTGCAGTGTTGACCCTTCTTTTTCAAGACCTCTGCAATCCGCCATGGCATGCTGTCAATTAACGTCTGGGCCACATCCTGACTGATGGCAGCCCATTCTTGCATAATCGATGCTTGGAGTTTGTCAGAATTTGTGGGTTTTTGTTTGTCCACCCGCCTCTTGAGGATCAACCATAAATTCTCAATGGGATTAAGGTCTGGGAAGTTTCCTGGCCATGGACCCAAAATATCGATGTTTTGTTCCCAGAGCCACTTAGTTATCACTTTTGCCTTATGGCAAGGTGCACCATCATGCTGGAAAAGGCATTGTTCGTCACCAAACTGTTCTTGGATGGTTGGGAGAAGTTGCTCTCGGAGGATGTGTTGGTACCATTCTTTATGCTTGGCTGTGTTCTTAGGCAAAATTGTGAGTGAGACCACTCCCTTGGCTGAGAAGCAACCCCACACATGAATGGTCTCAGGATGCTTTACTGTTGGCATGACACAGGACTGATGGTAGCGCTCACCTTGTCTTCTCCGGACAAGCTTTTTTCCGGATGCCCCAAACAATCGGAAAGGGGATTCATCAGAGAAAATGACTTTACCCCAGTCCTCAGCAGTCTAATCCCTGTACATTTTGCAGAATATCAGTCTGTCCCTGATGTTTTTCCTGGAGAGAAGTGGCTTCTTTGCTGCCCTTCTTGATACCAGGCCATCCTCCAAAAGTCTTCGCCTCACTGTGCGTGCAGATGCACTCACACCTGCCTGCTGCCATTCCTGAGCAAGCTCTACACTGGTGGTGCCCCGATCCCGCAGCTGAATCAACTTTAGGAGACGGTCCTGGCGCTTGCTGGACTTTCTTGGGCGCCCTGACGCCTTCTTCACAACAATTGAACCTCTCTCCTTGAAGTTCTTAATGATCCGATAAATGGTTGATTTAGGTGCAATCTTACTAGCAGCAATATCCTTGCCTGTGAAGCCCTTTTTGTGCAAAGCAATGATGACGGCACGTGTTTCCTTGCAGGTAACCATGGTTAACAGAGGAAGAACAATGATTTCAAGCACCACCCTCCTTTTAAAGCTTCCAGTCTGTTATTCTAACTCAATCAGCATGACAGAGTGATCTCCAGCCTTGTCCTTGTCAACACTCTCACCTGTGTTAATGAGAGAATCACTGACATGATGGCAGCTGGTCCTTTTGTGGCAGGGCTGAAATGCAGTGGAAATGTTTTTTTGGGATTAAGTTTATTTTCATGGCAAAGAGGGACTTTGCAATGAATTGCAATTCATCTGATCACTCTTCATGACATTCTGGAGTATATGCAAATTGCCATCATCAAAACTGAGGCAGCAGACTTTGTGAAAATTAGTATTTGTGTCATTCTCAAAACGTTTGACCACGACTATACTGGCACGTACAGGCTCAACACTGTTTCAGCTGTCCTCTGACTGATCTTTCTAAAAATAGCAGCCGAAATTGTCGCAACCCCTATTACAAGCCTGTTCAACCTCTCTTTCGTAACGTCTGAGATCCGCAGAGATTGGAAAGCTGCCGCGGTCATCCCCCTCTTCAAAGGGGGTGACACTCTAGATCCAAACTGTTACAGACCTATATCCATCCTGCCCTGCCTTTCTAAAGTTTTTGAAAGCCAAGTTAACAAACAGATTACCGACCATTTCGAATCACACTGTACCTTCTCCGCTATGCAATCCGGTTTCCGAGCTGGTCATGGGTGCACCTCAGCCACGCTCAAGGTCCTAAACGATATTATAACCATGATCGATAATAGACAGTACTGTGCAGCCGTCTTCATCGACCTGGCCAAGGCTTTCGACTCTGTCAACCACCGCATTCTTATTGGCAGACTAAATAGCCTTGGTTTCTCAAATGACTACCTCGCCTGGTTCACTAACTACTTCTCAGATAGAGTTCAATGTGTAAAATCGGAGGGCCTGTTGTCTGGACCTATGGCAGTCTCTATGGGGGTGCCACAGGGTTCAATTCTTGGGCCGACTCTTTTCTCCGTGTATATCAATGATGTTGCTCTTGCTGCTGGTGACTCTCAGATCCACCTCTACGCAGACGACAACATTTTGTATACATCTGGCCCTTCATTGAACACTGTTAACAAACCTCCAAACAAGCTTCAATGCCATACAACACTCCTTCTGTAGCCTCCAACTGCTCTTAAACACTAGTAAAACTAAATGCATGCTCTTCAATCGAACGCTGCTGGCACCCGCCCACCCGACTAGAATCACTACTATCGACGGGTCTGACCTAGAGTATGTGGACAACTACAAATACCTAGGTGTCTGGTTAGACTGTAAACTCTCCTTCCAGACTCACATTAAGCATCTCCGATCCAAAGTTAAATCTAGAATCGGCTTCTTATTTCGCAACAAAGCCTCCTTCACTCATGCTGCCAAACATGCCCTCATAAAACTGACTATCCTACCGATCCTTGACTTCGGCGATGTCATTTACAAAATAGCCTCGAACACTCTACTCAGCAAATTGGATGTAGTCTATCACAGTGCCATCCGTTTTGTCTCCAAAGCCCCATATACTACCCACCACTGTGACCTGCACGCTCTTGTTGGCTGGTCCTCACTACATATTCGTCGCCAAACCCACTGGCTCCAGGCCATCTATAAATCACTGCTAGGCAAATCCCTGCCTTATCTTAGCTCATTGGTCACCATAGCGACACCCACCCATAGTATGCGCTCCAGCAGATATATCTCACTGGTCATCCCCAAAGCCAACACCTCCTTTGGCCGCCATTCCTTCCAGTTCTCTGCTGCCAATGACTGGAACGAACTGCAAAAATCTCTGAAGCTGGAGACTCTTATCTCCCTCACTAACTTTAAGCATCAGTTGTCAAAGCACCTTACCGATCACTGCACCTGTACACAGCCCATCTGAAATTTACCCACCCAACTACCTCATCCCCATATTGTTATTTATTTTGCTCATTTGCACCCCAGTATCTCTATTTGCACATCATCTTTTGCACATCTATCATTCCAGTGTTAATACTAATTGTAATTATTTTGCACTATGGCCTATTTATTGCCTTACCTCCATAACTTGCTACATTTGCACACACTGTATATATATTTTCTGTTGTATTTTTGACTTTATGTTTTATTTTACCCCATATGTAACTCTGTGTTGTTGTTGTTTTTCGCACTGCTTTGCTTTATCTTGGCCAGGTCGCAGTTGTAAATGAGAACTTGTTCTCAACTGGCTTACCTGGTTAAATAAAGGTGAAATAAAAATAACAAATAAAATCATTGTCCCCATAGCTGCTGCTGCTGCAGTAGGGGTGACTGTGGAGCACATTGCAAAACTTTTCCACAGTTGGCTTAAAGCCCCATCTGGCAGCGAGACAGCTGTGGCGTCAGGTTTAGGCCTTTAACATGGTGCAAAATGTTGTGTTTGCTATAGTATAGCATAGCCACAGGAAGTAGAGGTGCTGTAGTTGCCCCCTGTCGACAAAACATTCTCAGCACATCTAGTAAATCTGAATATTCACAAACACCTCTCTATCTGTCCACTCTCTGTCTCAGAATGCCAGCTGATGAAGACAGAACGACCAAAGCCCACATTCATTATCAGATGTCTACAGTGGACCACCGTCATAGAGAGGACCTTCCATGTGGACACACCAGAGGAAAGGTGAGCTCACCCCTTACTCTGCTTCTATGGCCAATTGACAGCTTTTTCTGTACACTGTACCCACTACATCTATGAAAACAGTACATCTATGAAAACAGTACATCTATGAAAACAGTACATCTATGAAAACATTACATCTATGAAAACATTACATCTATGAAAAGGCATAGTGAAGCTCTCAAGCCAGACTGTCGTGTAAAACTGTGCCAAATTGCTTACTAGTTCCATTTTCTATGATGGATTTTTATGATAACCTACAATATGACTATGATATTATTTTATACTAAATGGGATTCCAGAGATAATTTGGTGTGAAAGTTTTCTTGCGACAATTATATATTTGTCCTCAGCCTCCATTCTCTAAGAATCAACAAAAATTGATGTAGCAATCGCAGATTACCCCTTTAACAAAGATTTTTTGAAAACCCAGCACACACATAGCCACAATAGACAGACCAGGGTATTGAGGAGAAGAGAATTACAGTTAGAGCTGCAGCCTCAATAGAAAGACCAGGGGATTGAGGGGAAGATAATTACAGTTAGAGCTGCAGCCTCAATAGAAAGGCCAGGGGATTGAGGAGAAGAGAATTACAGTTAGAGCTGCAGCCTCAATAGAAAGGCCAGGGGATTGAGGAGAAGAGAATTACAGTTAGAGCTGCAGCCTCAATAGAAAGACCGGGGGATTGAGGAGAAGAGAATTACAGTTAGAGCTGCAGCCTCAATAGAAAGGCCAGGGGATTGAGGAGAAGAGAATTACAGTCAGAGCTGCAGCCTCAATAGAAAGGCCAGGGGATTGAGGAGAAGAGAATTACAGTTAGAGCTGCAGCCTCAATAGAAAGGCCAGGGGATTGAGGAGAAGAGAATTACAGTCAGAGCTGCAGCCTCAATAGAAAGGCCAGGGGATTGAGGGGAAGATAATTACAGTCAGAGCTGCAGCCTCAATAGAAAGGCCAGGGGATTGAGGAGAAGAGAATTACAGTTAGAGCTGCAGTCTCAATAGAAAGGCCAGGGGATTGAGGAGAAGAGAATTACAGTTAGAGCTGCAGCCTCAATAGAAAGGCCAGGGGATTGAGGGGAAGATAATTACAGTCAGAGCTGCAGCCTCAATAGAAAGGCCAGGGGATTGAGGAGAAGAGAATTACAGTTAGAGCTGCAGTCTCAATAGAAAGGCCAGGGGATTGAGGAGAAGAGAATTACAGTTAGAGCTGCAGCCTCAATAGAAAGGCCAGGGGATTGAGGGGAAGATAATTACAGTTAGAGCTGCAGTCTCAATAGAAAGGCCAGGGGACCCTAGAGTCGATTTCCACACCCCAAATCTAATTAGTATAATAAAAAAATCCCCACAAAAATCTGTCAGTTTAAGCTAGAGATATGTTTTTTTTGCATTGGATACGTCTCAATCCACCACACTTCTTCATCTGCGGTGAAAGGTGACAGAGCTAGAGCAATGTTTGTAGACCATGAGACATCCCAAAAATTGGTCTTCCCACAAAATCGTCTGTAGCATCTGAATGGTTTGGCCTACAAACTATTAACCCCTCCATGGAAAGATGAGACTCGCACGAACACGATGGTGTTCTCTGTTTTGCTCTACGACCTTCACAAGTGTCAAGAGACTCGTCTGAAGTCGGTACAGCCGATCTGCCAACTTCTGTCAGTAGCATCCGAACCCTTTGGGCTACACACCTATGATCCCTCTGTGCAAAGGTGAGATTCTCACGAACATGTACATGTCGGTTGTTTTACTCTAAGACGCCCACAGGCCTCACAAGACTTGTCTGAAGGTCTCCCAGTACCAGTTTAAAAAAATGAATGGAAGTACAGTGCCTTCGGAAAGTATTCAGACCCCCTGATTTTTCCACATAGGTTACAGCCTTATTCTAAAAAGTATTAAATAGTTTTTTTCCCTCATCAATCTACACACAATACCCGATAATGACAATGCAAAAACAGTTTTTTGGACATTTTTGCTAATGTATTAAATGAAAGAAATATGATTTATTTTTTACATAAGTATTCTGACCTTTTAACCAGTACTTTGTTGAAGCACCTTTGGCAGCGATCACATCCTGTATTTGGGGAGTTTCTCCCATTCTTCTCTGTAGATGCTCTCAAGCTCTGTCAGGTTGGATGGGGAGTGTCGCTACACAGCTATTTTCAGGTCTCTCCAGAGATATTCGATCGGGTTCATGTCCGGGCTCTGGCTGGGCCACTCAAGGACATTCAGAGACTTGTCCTGAAGCCACTCCTGCGTTGTCTTGGCTGTGTGCTTTGAGTCATTGTCCTGTTGGAAGGTGAACCTTCGGCACCCCCATGCTTCACCGTAGGGATGGTGCCAGGTTTCCTCCAGACATGATGCTTGGCATTTAGGCCAAAGAGTTGAATCTTGGTTTCATCAGACCAGAGAATCTTGTTTCTCATGGTCTGAGAGTCTTTAGGTGCCTCGGTCTGAGAGTCTTTAGGTGTCTCGGAGCTCTACGGACAACAAAAATATGGGGTTAAATACATTAAAATAACAAAACAAAAAAGTTTTGGAGAGACATTTCAGAACAAACTTCCTTTTGATATTTTTGGGGGACTATCTGTTGTTCCATGAATTGAATCTGTTGTTCAACGCATCTGTATGGGCTAATAGCATTAAGACCAACAATTATGTTTTATCAAATTCTTCAAGGGTTCTTAAAATTCCAAATCAAATAGCTAAATGAACCTTGGTATGACCTTCTTAAAACAATTCCATATAGCTTAGTAGAACGTATTTTCCAGTTCCTGTCTTGAGCTTTACAGCCGCTGTACTGTATCTCTGTCTGTCTGGCTGTATCCACCTGGCAGAGGCCCAGCAACGGCTGGCCCACGTGTGAGGAGAGAGTTGGCACCCGCTGGCACGCCGCCCAACTGTAGTCAGGCCCATTATCTCTCGTTAGCTAAAAAAATCACATTATACTCCAAAGAAAATGGACGGGGTAGGGAGAGATGGCTCGGCTCGCATTCATCTGCACAACCTTGAGAGGATTCCTGCTGCTTTTTATGTGTACACTGTGCCGTTCGATTGTTCAAAAGGAACACAACTTTTGTTGGCCCTTGTTGGGAGTCACATGTAGGATATATTCAGAAGCCTATGTGGTGTAAAGCTGCAAAAAGTTGTTCAGAAAAAGAATCCTGTATGGATTTGCACCTTGTTCAATCCCTCATTATATCATATGGGCCTCAAACTCAAAGCAAAACATCAAACAAAAACCAAATGGATGCTATTTTGTTCTGTTTGCATTATCCCGTTACCGAAAACAAAACAACTTTTCAACTGGAGTCAACAGTTACTTTGTTGTAAAGCAGAAAGCCCAGCAGTCCTCCTAGAAATGCTATCCTACGTACAGTAAATGAAAGTTTCCAAATCCCAACGATCCCCTCCTGTGGAATGTTTATGTAGCAGCAGTACAGCCCAGAGGGAAGCACAAACCACACAGATATATTCATCATCATTTAATACACACATTCTCGCACAAATCTAAATGCATCACTGGTTTTATGCAACAGATGTTGTACGGCACAACAAATGTAAACCCAATTGGGGGTAACACCATTCGCGAACAAGCAATAGTTCCAATTCACATAACCTAATTTTTTAACATTTGTTTTGTTCTAAAGTGTCTGATCATCAACGATTACATAGATGATTGCATAGATTAGCCTTTGTTGAAATCCCATTTTTACCCCATTGTGAAGGTATAATGAATAAATTGCACTGTCTAGAGATCATTCTTAATTTAGCATAATGTAATTGTTTTTGCAAATGGTGTTACCCCCCCATTCTACCTTATGTTATTTTTAGTGCTACATTGATATTAATTACTGCATTGTTGGGTTTAGAACTTGCAAGAAAGGCATTCCACTGTCCTTGTGCACGTGACATTAAAACTTGATTCTGCATGATGTTGTCACATTAGACAGTAAACAGTAGCTACATTTCATTGTGAAATATCATTGTTACAGTGCAGAAGTGTGTTCATGTGTCTGTGTTATAGGTGCGTATGGTGTGAGTTTAAAGAGGCTATCCATACTCCAGACGATTTCCTATATATGGAGCTCTAGAGGTGTACAGTGCCTTCAGAAAGTATTCATACCCCTTGACTTATTCCATATTTTGTTGTGTTACAGCCTGAATTCAAAATTGATTTAAATATTATTATTTTTCTCACCCTTCTACACACAATACACCATTATGACAAGTGAAAACATGTTTTTTGAAATCTTTGCAAATGTATTGAAAATGAAATTCAGAAATATCTCATTTATATAAGTATTCACACCCCTGAGTCAATACTTTGTAGAAGTACCTTTGGCTGCGATTACAGCTTTGAGTCGTCTTGGTTATGTCTGTATCAGCTTTGCACATCTGGATTTGGGGACTTTTTCCTATTCTTCCTTGCATTTTCTCAAGCTCTTTAGTTAGATGGGGAGTGGCGGTGAACATGAATATTCAAGTTTTCCACAGATTTTTTATGGGATTCAAGTCTGGGCTTTGGCTGGGCACTCAAGGACTTCACATTCTTGATCTGAAGCCATTCCAGCATTGCTTTGGCTGTATTCTTGGGGTCATTGTCCTGTTGGAACGTAAATCTTCGCCACAGTCTAAGGTCGTTTGCACTCTGAAGCAGGTTCTCATCAAGGATTTGCCTGTATTTGGCTCCATTCATTGTTCCCTCTATCCTTACCAGTTTCCCAGTCCCTGAAAAGCATCCCCATAGCATGATGCTGCCACCACCATGCTTAATGGTAGGGATGGTGTTAGATGGGTGATGAGTAGTGCCTGGTTTTGTCCAGACCTAGCACTTTGCATTCAGGCCAAAGAGTTACATTCTTGTCTCATCAGACCACATAATATTTTGCCTTATGCTCTCAGTCTTTCACATACCTTTTGCAAACTCCAGGTGTGCTGTCATGTGCCTTTTTCTCAGGAGTGGCTTCCGTCTGGCCACTCTTCCATAAAGCCCAGATTGGTGAAGCACTTTAGAGACGGTTGTCCTTCTGGCAGGTTCTCCCATCTCAGCCAAGGAACTCTGTAGTTCTGTCAGAGTGGTCATTGGGTTCTTGGTCACCTACCTTACCAAGGTCCTTCTTGCCCGGTTGCTCAGTTTGGTCGGACGGCCAGCTTTAGGCAGAGTCTGGGTAGTTCCATATTTTTTCAATTTCCCAACAATGGAGACCACTGTGCTTTTGGAAACTTTCAACACTCTATAAATAGTTTTATACCCTTCCCCACATTTGTGCCTCATCACAATTCTATCTTGGAGAGCTACGGACAGTTCCATGGACTTCATGGTATAGTTTCTGCTCTGACATGCACTGTCAACTGTGGGACCTTATATAGACAGTTGTGTTTCTTTCTAAAGAATGTCCAAACAATTATAATATATTGGCCACAGGTGGACTCCAATCAAGTTGTAGTGACAGCTCAAGGATGATCAAAGGAAATTGGATGCACCTGAGTTCAATTTAGAGTGTCATAGCAAAGGGGTGTGAATATTTATGTAAATGAGATATTTATGTATTTCATTTTCAATACATTTGCAAAACATTTACATTTTAGTCATTTAGCAGACACTCTTATCCAGAGCGACTTACAGTTAGTGAATCCATATGTATTTAAAAAAAAAAAAAAAATTATGTTGCCCCCCCGTGGGAAACGAACCCACATCCCTGCCGGCCAAACCCTCCCCTACCTTGAACAACGCTGGACCAATTGTGCACCGCCCATGGGTCTCCCGGTTGTGGCCGGCTGCGACAGAGCCTGGACTCGAACCAGGATCTCTAGTGGCACAGCTAGCACTGCGATGCAGTGCCTTAGACCACTGCGCCACTCGGGAGTCTAGGAAAAAAACATGTTTTCACTTTGTCATTATGGGGTATTGTGTGTAGATGGGTGAGAGAGAAAAAATCTATTTAATCCATTTTGAATTCAGGCTGTAACACAACAAAATGTGGAATAAGTCAAGGGGTATGAATACTTTCTGAAGGCACTGTACTGTATGTCCTGACAAGATAAGTGAACAGGGGCTAACCAGACTACTATATAGACTAGGGGTGTTAAACTCATTTTGCCCTGGGGGACGCATTCGGTCTTCATTGAGGTCCAGAGGACAACACTGAAAATGTGTTATATTTCCTCGCCATTCAAATTTGCAACAAATTGTCCTCTATCCATCATTTTGGGCATTTTCTATGCTCCCTGACTGTCTAGCTTTCATTTAGGTGATTATTAGCGAGCTGGACAGTCTAGAAACTGTATGAATGTAGGTCCAATATAATTTCTACACAGTTTCGATTTGGTTTTAGTCATTTTAAAGTATTTTGAGATAACCCCCCCCCCACACACACACACACACACACACACACACAAACACACAAACACAAAAAACAAATAGGTATATATACAGTATATTTTTTTACTCAAACCACCCGCGGCCGTATTGGACCCCCTGATATAGACTGTAAAGACATTGGACCTATCTAGAGGTGTGTGTTCTGGAACTAACTAGAGGGGTGTGTTCTGGAACTAACTAGAGGTGTGTGTTCTGGAACTAACTAGAGGGGTGAGTTCTGGAACTAACTAGATGGGTGTGTTCTGGACCTAACTAGAGAGGTGTGTTCTGGAACTAACTAGAGGGGTGAGTTCTGGAACTAACTAGAGGTGTGTGTTCTGGAACTAACTAGAGGGGTGTGTTCTGGAACTAACTAGAGGGGTGTGTTCTGGACCTAACTAGAGGGGTTAGTTCTGGAACTAACTAGAGGTGTGTGTTCTGGACCTAACTAGAGGGGTGTGTTCTGGAACTAATTAGAGGGGTGAGTTCTGGAACTAACTAGAGGTGTGTGTTCTGGAACTAACTAGAGGGGTGTGTTCTGGAACTAACTAGAGGGGTGTGTTCTGGACCTAACTAGAGGGGTGAGTTCTGGAACTAACTAGAGGGGTGTGTTCTGGACCTAACTAGAGGGGTGTGTTCTGGAACTAACTAAAGGGGTGAGTTCTGGAACTAACTAGAGGAGTGTGTTCTGGACCTATCTAGAGGGGTGTGTTCTGGAACTAATTAGAGGTGTGTGTTCTGGAACTAACTAGAGGGGTGTGTTCTGGAACTAACTAGAGGGGTGTGTTCTGGAACTAACTAGAGGGGTGTGTTCTGCTGTGTTTTCCAAACAGGGATGAGTGGACAGAGGCGGTCCAGATAGTAGCAGACAAACTCCAAAGACAGGAGGAGGAGAGGATCCAATGCAGTCCCACCTCTCAGATAGACAACATCGGAGAGCTGGAGGAGATGGACACCTCTACCAGCCACCATAAACGGAAGGTAAGAGACAAACACCTGGACAAACAACTGGATTACTTTTTTCCCCGATCAAATGATTTTTATTTACTAATAATAATTGTCAGCGAACATAAATACATACATACAAAATGAAGTTACAATATATATACATATGCTGTGCTGTCTCTGAAGTTCCCTTCACTACCTTATCTCCCTCCACAGGATGAAGTGGCCCACACACTCACAGAGAGCAGAGTACTAAAAAACAGTACGTATCCTTTCTTAACCGTGAGTACCCAACTATACACACACACACAAACACACACACACACACACACACACACACACACACACACACACACACACACACACACGCACACACACATCACACAGACACATAGTGAAATCAACTAGAATATACACCACAGTAAGTTAGCAGCATGTTGAGGCTGTATGTACCTGAAGTACCAGATGCTCATTATAATGCAGTGAATAAACTGTTAGAAATCAACAGCCCAAGTGTAGCCCTACATCTGTCAACAAGACACCACTAAGAGGTTATTTCAGTGGCACTCCAGATGCTGTTGTTCGCTGCAAAACACACACACACACGGCAAAACCATTAAGGTTCATATCACATCACAGTAACATTACACCTTGGTTTAGTTCTCTCACACCTGTCAGTCAGAGAGCAACTGTTCTTTGGTTTAATGTTTAACTCCCTGGATAGAAAACATACTGAGAAACAACATCAATAGACATCTGTGCTAGGTGTGAACCTCTCCTCAGGTTGTGGAGCTGATGGTTGTGTTTCTTCCTGTTTCAGTCTTTGAAGTATTCCTTCCAGACTAAAGACCGCCTATGCTTTGTAATGGAATATGTGAATGGAGGAGAGGTAAGCCCTAACTGGTACTTGTTGCGCTCTCTCCTCTCTCTCTCTCCTTCTCTCTCTTTCTCTCTCTCTCGCTCTCTGTCACGGTTTCGGCCGAGGCTGCCTCTCTCCCTTGTTCGGGCAGGTTTCGGCGTTCGTCGTCTCCGGAATTCTAGCTGCCACCGCTGTATGTTTCATGTTCGTTTGCTTTTGTCTGTTTGTTTCCACACCTGTTTCTGTTTTGGCGTAATTAGTGTCCTATAAGTTTCTCGTTGTGTTTGTCTAGTGTTGTGTGTAATTATTTTCCGTCAGTTGTGTGTATTGCTCGGTTGAGCTTCTCTCCACTGCGCTGGAGTATTTTCGCACCTGTTTGTGCGCAGTTACATTTGTCGCACCTGTTAGTGCGCTGTTACTTTTCGCCTTCGTGCGTATTTTTCGCCTTCGGGCAAAGTTTTCCTTTTGCCTTAGTTTGGGCAGTAATACAAGCCTTTGGAATATCGTTCTGAGTCCTGCGTTTGATTCCACCATTGCACCTACAGCACGCCCTGACAGAATTACACACCATCAATGGAATCAGCAGGAGCCGAAGCAGCCCAGACGAGACTGGAGGCCCAGGTTCGGGACCAACAAGATCAGATCCTGCAGATGGGGACCGCCCTGCAGGAGGTGATTTCCACCCTCCGAGGCTGGGGTACGCCTCCACCGCCTCCCTCCCTGCCAGCACCATCGGCCAGCCCGCCCATTCCAGCGCCGGAACCTCGAGGAGTCCGACTATCTCTCCCGAGGGCCTACGACGGAACCGCGGCTGGGTGTCAGGGATTCCTACTCCAGGTGGAGCTATACCTGGCCACAGTGCACCCGGCACCTTCGGGGCATGAGAGCGTGTCCGCCCTGATCTCCTGCCTGGCCGGAAAAGCGTTGGAGTGGGCCAACGCGGAGTGGAGGAAGATCGACGCCACGACGATTACCTACGACGAGTTCTCCCGCCGCTTCAGGGCGGTGTTTGACCATCCCCCGGAGGGGAAAGCGGCGGGGGAGCGTCTGGTCTTCCTCCGGCAGGGGAGGAGGAGTGCCCAGGAATTCGCTCTCGAATTCCGTACTCTAGCGGCAGATGCAGGGTGGAATGATCGGGCCCTCATCGATCTATACAGATGTAGCCTACGAGAGGACGTCCGTCGGGAGCTGGCTTGTAGGGACACCAGCCTCTCTTTCGACCAGCTGGTCGACATGTCCATCAGGCTGGATAACCTACTGGCTACCCGCGGACGTCCTGCGGAGGGTCCGTCCATTTCACCCTCCAGCGCCTCCGAGCCGTGTCCTATGGAGCTCGGGGGCGCTGGCGCTAGAGAGAGGAGGAGTCGGCAGGCTAGGGGGTCCATCCACTGCACCAACTGTGGTCGGGGAGGACACACCACGGCTAGGTGCTGGGGATGGCCTCCTAGGGGAGATGACGACAGGTCCCGCACTGGGGATTCCCTCCAGGTGAGTAGGCGCCCCACTCACCCAGAGCTCACTGTTGCCCATTTTTGTATGCCTGTAAGTTTTCCACAGGTAGCACCTCATTCCCAGCATAAGGCGCTGGTAGATTCAGGCGCGGCTGGGAATTTTATTGATAAAACGTTTTGTTTAGCGTTAGGGATTCCCCTTATTCCTGTTGATGTTCCTTTCCCCGTTCATGCCCTAGATAGTCGTCCGTTGGGTACGGGCTTAATCAGGGAAGTCACGGCGCCACTTAGGATGTGTGCGCAGGGGGATCATCAGGAGATGATTCAGCTGTTCCTGATTGACTCTCCTGCGTATCCGGTGGTGCTGGGCATGCCCTGGTTGAGTACCCATAACCCAGCTATTTCGTGGCAGGAGAGGGCTCTGATGGAGTGGTCTGCTCAGTGTGTGGGTAGATGTTTGGGCGTTTCCGTAGGGGCTACCTCGGTGGAGAGTCCAAACCAGGTGCCCGCATTGCACGTTCCACCTGAGTATGGGGATTTGGCTATTGCGTTTAGTAAGGCGAGGGCGACGCGGTTGCCACCCCATAGGCAGGGGGATTGTGCGATAGACCTCCAGGCAGGAGCTGCGCTCCCACGGAGCCATGTGTATCCTCTGTCTCAGGAAGAGAAGAAAGCTATGGAGATTTACATAGACGAATCTCTGAGACAAGGATACATACGGCCTTCCACTTCCCCTGCGTCCTCGAGTTTCTTTTTTGTGAAGAAAAAGGATGGGGGTTTGCGCCCGTGCATCGATTACCGTGGTCTCAATCAGATTACGGTGAAGTATAGTTATCCACTCCCGCTGATTGCGACCATGACTGAGTCGTTGCATGGGGCGCGTTTCTTCACGAAATTAGATCTCAGGAGCGCGTACAACTTGGTGCGCATCAGGGAGGGTGATGAATGGAAAACAGCCTTTAGTACCACCTCGGGCCATTACGAGTATCTGGTCATGCCATACGGGTTGATGAACGCTCCGTCAGTTTTCCAATCATTCGTGGATGAGATCTTCAGGGACATGCAGGGGCAGGGGGTGGTGGTGTACATTGATGACATTCTCGTGTACTCGCCTACCCGTGTCGAGCATGTGGCCCTGGTGCGTAGAGTGTTGCGGAGGCTGGTGGAGCACGACCTGTATGTGAAGGCAGAGAAGTGTCTGTTTTTCCAGGAGTCGGTCTCCTTTTTGGGTTATCAGTTGTCTGCGTCAGGGGTGAAGATGGAGGTAGACCGGGTGTCGGCCGTGCGTAATTGGCAAACACCAACCACTGTGAAGGAGGTGCAGCAGTTTTTGGGGTTTGCAAATTACTACAGGAGGTTTATCCGGGGTTTTGGACAGGTGGCAGCTCCCATCACGTCTCTGTTGAAGGGGGGTCCGGTGCGTCTGCAGTGGTCGGCCGAGGCGGACAGGGCGTTTGGGAGGCTGAAGGACCTGTTTACCTCGGCCCCGGTGCTGGCGCATCCGGATCCCTCTTTGCCGTTCCAGGTAGAGGTGGACGCGTCGGAGGCCGGTTTAGGAGCCGTGCTTTCACAACGGTCTGGCGCGCCACCTAAACTCCGCCCCTGTGCTTTTTATTCTAAGAAGCTCAGTCCGGCGGAGCGGAACTATGACGTAGGGGACAGGGAGCTGTTAGCCGTGGTACAGGCTCTAAAGGTGTGGAGGCACTGGCTTGAGGGGGCTCAACACCCTTTCCTCATTTTGACGGACCACCGTAACCTGGAGTACATCCGGGCGGCGAGGAGGCTGAACCCTTTTCATTAAGGCTGAACCCTTTTCACGTCTGGAGCCGCGCGTCAAGGGGGGGGTACTGTCACGGTTTCGGCCGAGGCTGCCTCTCTCCCTTGTTCGGGCAGGTTTCGGCGTTCGTCGTCTCCGGAATTCTAGCTGCCACCGCTGTATGTTTCATGTTCGTTTGCTTTTGTCTGTTTGTTTCCACACCTGTTTCTGTTTTGGCGTAATTAGTGTCCTATAAGTTTCTCGTTGTGTTTGTCTAGTGTTGTGTGTAATTATTTTCCGTCAGTTGTGTGTATTGCTCGGTTGAGCTTCTCTCCACTGCGCTGGAGTATTTTCGCACCTGTTTGTGCGCAGTTACATTTGTCGCACCTGTTAGTGCGCTGTTACTTTTCGCCTTCGTGCGTATTTTTCGCCTTCGGGCAAAGTTGTCCTTTTGCCTTAGTTTGGGCAGTAATACAAGCCTTTGGAATATCGTTCTGAGTCCTGCGTTTGATTGCACCTACAGCAAGCCCTGACACTCTCTCTCATTTCAAGGGGCTTTATTGGCATGGGAAACATATGTTTACATTGCCAAAGCAAGTGAAATAGATAATAAACAAAAGGGAAATAAACAATCAGAAATGAACAGTAAACATTACACTCACAAAAGTATTAAAAGAAGATAAACATTTAAACTGTTATATAATTGTCTATGTGGTGTAAGAATGTGCAAATAGTTGGTCAGGTATTCCTCCACTCTGTACTCTCTGTTTAGGGACAGATAACATTCCAGTTTGCATTGTTAAGTGGTCAGGTATTCTATCACTGTGGACTCTCTGTTTAGGGACAGATAACATTCCAGTTTGCATTGATAAGTGGTCAGGTATTCTGCCACTGTGGACTCTCTGTTTAGGGACAGATAACATTCCAGTTTGCATTGTTAAGTGGTCAGGTATTCTTCCACTCTGTACTCTCTGTTTAGAGCCATATAGCATTCCAGTTTGCTCTGTTTTTTTGTTAATTCTTTCCAATGTGTCAAATAATAAATATTTTACTTTTCTAATTGTGTTGCTGTCCTGGGGCTCTGTGGGGTCTGTTTGTGTTGGTGAACAGAGCCCCAGTACCAGCTGGCTGAGGGGACTCTTCTCTCTGTAGGTGAAGGCTTTGTTAGGGAAGGTTTGAGAATCTCTTCCTTTTAGGTGGTTGTAGAATTGAATTGCTATTTTCTGGATTTTGATAATTAGCTGGAATCATCCAAATTCTGCTCTGCATGCATTATTTGGTGTATTACGTTGTACAAAGAGGATGTTTTTGCAGAATTCTTAATGCAGAGTCACAATTTGGTGTTTGTCACATTTTGTGAATTCTTGGTTGGTCAGTGGACCCCAGACCTCACAACCATAAAAGGCAATGGGTTCTTTAACTGATTCAAGTATTTTTTAAATAGATCCTAATTGGGATATCAAATGTTATGTTCCTTTTAATGACGTAGAAGGCCCTTCTTGCCTTGTCTCTCAGATCGTTCACAGCTTTGTGGAAGTTTCCTGTGGTGCTGATGTTCAGGCCGAGGTAGGTATAATTATTTGTGTGCTCTAGGGCAACGGTGTCCAAATGGAATTTGTATTTGTGGTCCTGGCAACTGGACCTTTTTTGGAACACCATTATTTTAGTCTTAATGAAATTTACTGTCAGGGCCCAGGTCTGACAGAATCTGTGCAGAATATCTAGGTGCTGCTGTAGGCCCTCCTTGGTTGGGGACAAAAGCATCAGATCATTAGCAAACAGTAGACATTTGATTTCAGATTCTAGTAGGGTGAGGCCGGGTGCTGCAGACTGCTCTAGAGCCCTCGCCAATTCGTTGATATAAATTTTGAAGAGGATGAGGCTTAAACTGCATCCCTGTATCACCCCACGGCCCTGTGGAAAGAAATGTGTGTGTTAATTGTCAATTTTAACCGCACACTTATTGTTTGTGTACATGGATTTTATAATGTTGTATGTTTTTCCCCCAACCCCACTTTCCATCAATTTGTATAGCAGGCCCTCATGCCAAATTGAGTCAAAAGCTTTTTTGAAATCAACAAAGCATGAGAAAACTTTGCCTTTGTTTTGGTTTAGGGTGTGCAGGGTGAATACGTGGTCTGTCGTATGGTAATCTGGTAAAAAGCCAATATGACATTTGCTCAGGACATTGTTTTCACTGAGGAAATGTACGAGTCTGCTGTTAATGATAATGCAGAGGATTTTCCCAAGGTTGCTGTTGACGCATATCTCACGGGAGTTATTGGGGTTGAATTTGTTATTGGGGGGGGGGGGGGGGGGGGGTCGACTGGATGGGGTGGGGGTGGGGTTGGGTCTGGTGGTGCTGTGGTCTGGGTGTAGGTCCTCTTGGTGTGGATCCTCTCGGTGCAGGACCTACGGGATGGGGTCTTGTAGTTCTGGGGGTGTGTCTTGCTGGTCTGGGCGGGGTTTCCGTTGCTCTGTTGCTCCTGTGTGAGGTGTTGGGGCTGGGGGTGAGGGTGATGTCCCTCAGGCTCCTGGCAAAGGTGGGGACTGCTGCCTTGTAGAGGTGGACCTGGTCATAAAGGCTGTTCAAGTCCAGGGTGGAGTGGTGGGCCAGGTAGATGTTAGGTTTTGAGGCACAGTCCCGGGAAATGCTTGCATTCACCCGCTGTATGGTGGCAGGGTGAAAGTATTGTCTTGGTAGCAGTGTGGAGATGACCACTCGTGAGTTAGGGATTGAGGAAGACGCTTTTTCAATCACTCCCTGGAGTGCTGTGGCCACCCTGTGTGAATTATGATGTGGCTGGGCGACCCTAGTCGGTCCTCTGACAGCAGCTCCAGGGCATGCCTAGTGTTTGGACACCACAGTTTAGCCACTTTGTGTTTTGGAAAAAGTTGATTCTCAACAATGTATTTCCCATTTGAGTCAATGAGGAGCACAATCTCTGGTTTTTGTGTGTCCTCAGTGGGTGTGGGGGTGTTGTCAGGAGAGCTATCCGGTGGGCTGACAGGAGGGGTGCCAAGAGGGGAAGTCTGCTGGCTTGGTGGATCCTGCCTTGTCTGTCCCACTGTGGCATTAAGGCTGTGGTCGAGGTCTGAAGTGGGCTGTTCTTTTGGCTTCTCTGGGGGGATGGCCAGCTCTCTCATGAGTGGTTCATTGTCGCACCTCAGCTTTCTCACCTCCTCTTGCAGTGCTGTTAGCTGGACTATGTGCCTCTGTTAGCTGGACTGTGTGTCCCTCTGTTAGCTGGACTGTGTGTTCCTCTGTTAGCTGGACAGTGTGTTCCTCTGTTAGCTGGGCTGTGTGTTCCTATGTTAGCTGGGCTCTGTGTTCCTCTGTTAGCTGGGCTCTGTGTTCCTCTGTTAGCTCTTTATTCCTCTGTTAGCTGGACTGTGTGTTCCTCTGTTAGCTGGGATCTGTGTTCCTCTGTTAGCTCTGTATTCCTCTGTTAGCTGGACTGTGTGTTACTCTGTTAGCTGGGCTCTGTGTGTTCACCTGTTAGCTCTGTATTCCTCTGTTAGCTGGACTGTGTGTTCCTCTGTTAGCTGGGCTCTGTGTTCCTCTGTTAGCTCTGTGTTCCTCTGTAAGCTGGGTTCTGTGTTCCTCTGTTAGCTGGGCTCTGTGTTCCCCTGTTAGCTGGGCTCTGTTTTCCTCTGTTAGCTCTGTGTTCCTCTGTTAGCTGGACTGTGTGAGCCTCTGTTAGCTGGACTGTGTGGTCCTCTGTTAGCTGGGCTCTGTGTTTCTCTGTTAGCTGGGCTCTGTGATCCTCTGTTAGCTGGACTGTGTGTTCCTCTGTTAGCTGGGCTCTGTGTTCCTCTGTTAGCTGGGCTCTGTGTTCCTCTGTTAGCTGGACTGTGTGTTCCTATGTTAGCTGGGCTCTGTGTTTCTCTGTCAGCTCTGTGTTCCTCTGTTAGCTCTCTGTTCCTCTGTTAGCTGGGCTGTGGGTGCCTCTGTTATCTGGACTCTGTGTTCCTCTGTTAGCTCTGTGTTCATCTGTTAGCTGGACTGTGTGTACCTCTATTAGCTGGACTGTGTGTTCCTCTGTTAGCTGGACTGTGTATTCCTCTGTTAGCTGGACTGTGTATTCCTCTGTTAGCTGGACTGTGTGTTCCTCTGTTAGCTGGACTTGTATTCCTCTGATAGCTGGGCTCTGTGTTCCTCTGTTAGCTGGACTATGTGTTCCTCTATTAGCTGGACTCTGTGGTCCTCTGTTAGCTCCGTGTTTCTCTGTTAGCTGGGCTCTGTTTTCCTCTGTTAGCTGGGCTGTGTGTTCCTCTATTAGCTGGGCTCTGTGTTCCTCTGTTAGCTCTGTGGTCCTCTGTTAGCTGGGCTGTGTGTTCCTCTGTTAGCTGGGCTCTGTGTTCCTCTGTTAGCTCTGTGTTCCTCTGTTAGCTGGGCTCTGTGTTCCTCTGTTAGCTGGACTGTGTGTTCCTCTATTAGCTGGGCTCTGTGTTCCTCTGTTAGCTCTGTGTTCCTCTGTTAGCTGGGCTCTGTGTTCCTCTGTTAGCTCTGTGTTCCTCTGTTAGCTCTGTGTTCCTCTGTTAACTGGGCTCTGTGTTCCTCTGTTAGCTCTGTGTTCCTCTGTTAGCTGGGCTCTGTGTGCCTCTGTTAGCTTTGTGTTCCTCTGTTAGCTAGAACGTGTGTTCCTCTGTTAGCTGGACTGTGTGTTCCTCTGTTAGCTGGGCTGTGTGTTCCTCTGTTAGCTGGACTATGTGTTCCTCTGTTAGCTCTGTGTTCCTCTGTTAGCTGGGCTCTGTGTTCCTCTGTTAGCTCTGTGTTCCTCTGTTAGCTCTGTGTTCCTCTGTTAACTGGGCTCTGTGTTCCTCTGTTAGCTCTGTGTTCCTCTGTTAGCTGGGCTCTGTGTGCCTCTGTTAGCTTTGTGTTCCTCTGTTAGCTAGAACGTGTGTTCCTCTGTTAGCTGGACTGTGTGTTCCTCTGTTAGCTGGGCTGTGTGTTCCTCTGTTAGCTGGACTATGTGTTCCTCTGTTAGCTCTGTGTACCTCTGTTCGTTGGACTGTGTTCCTCTGTTAGCTGGGCTCCGTGTTCCTCTGTTAGCTCTGTGTTCCTCTGTTAGCCGGACTGTGTTTTCCTCTGTTAGCTGGTCTGTGTACTCCTCTGTTAGCTGGACTGTGTGTTACTCTGTTAGCTGGGCTCTGTGTGTTCCTCTGTTAGCTCTGTATTCCTCTGTTAGCTGGACTGTGTGTTCCTCTGTTAGCTGGGCTCTGTGTTCCTCTGTTATCTCTGTGTTCCTCTGTAAGCTGGGTTCTGTGTTCCTCTGTTAGCTGGGCTCTGTGTTCCTCTGTTAGCTGGGCTCTGTGTTCCTCTGTTAGCTCTGTGTTTCTCTGTTAGCTGGGCTCTGTGATCCTCTGTTAGCTGGACTGTGTGTTCCTCTGTTAGCTGGGCTCTGTGTTCCTCCGTTAGCTGGGCTCTGTGTTCTTCTGTTAGCTGGACTGTGTGTTCCTATTTTAGCTGGGCTCTGTGTTTCTCTGTTAGCTCTGTGTTCCTCTGTTAGCTCTGTGTTCCTCTGTTAGCTGGGCTGTGGGTTCCTCTGTTATCTGGACTCTGTGTACCTCTGTTAGCTCTGTGTTCCTCTATTAGCTGGACTTTGTGTTCCTCTGTTAGCTGGACTGTGTATTCCTCTGTTAGCTGGACTGTGTATTCCTTTGTTATCTGGACTGTTTGTTCCTCTGTTAGCTGGACTGTGTGTTCCTCTGATAGCTGGGCTCTGTGTTCCTCTGTTAGCTGCACTGTGTTCCTCTGTTAGCTGGGCTCTATGTTCCTCTGTTAGCTCCGTGTTCCTCTGTTAGCTGGACTTGTGTGCCTCTATTAGCAGGGCTCTGTGTTCCTCTGTTAGCTGGACTATGTGTTCCTCTATTAGCTGGACTCTGTGTTCCTCTGTTAGATCTGTGGTCCTCTGTTAGCTGGGCTGTGTGTTCCTCTGTAAGCTGGGCTCTGTGTTCCTCTGTTAGCTCCGTATTCCTCTGTTAGCTGGACTGTGTGTTCCTCTGTTAGCTGGACTGTGTGTTCCTATGTTAGCTGGGCTCTGTGTTTCGCTGTTAGCTCTGTGTTCCTCTTTTAGCTCTGTGTTCCTCTGTTAGCTGGGCTGTGGGTTCCTCTGTTATCTGGACTCTGTTAACATTCTATGTACAGTGAGGGAAAAAAGTATTTGATCCCCTGCTGATTTTGTACGTTTGCCCACTGACAAAGAAATTATCAGTCTATCATTTTAATGGTAGGTTTATTTGAACAGTGAGAGACAGAATAACAACAAAAAATCCAGAAAAATGCATGTCAAAAATGTTATAAATTGATTTGCATTTTAATGAGGGAAATAAGTATTTGACCCCCTCTCAATCAGAAAGATTTCTGGCTCCCAGGTGTCTTTTATACAGGTAACGAGCTGAGATTAGGAGCACACTCTTAAAGGGAGTGCTCCTAATCTCAGCTTGTTACCTGTATAAAAGACACCTGTCCACAGAAGCAATCAATCAATCAGATTCCAAACTCTCCACCATGGCCAAGACCAAAGAGCTCTCCAAGCTTGTAGACCTACACAAGGCTGGAATGGGCTACAAGACCATCGCCAAGCAGCTTGGTGAGTAGGTGACAACAGTTGGTGCGATCATTCGCAAATGGAAGAAACACAAAAGAACTGTCAATCTCCCTCGGCCTGGGGCTCCATGCAAGGTCTCACCTCGTGGAGTTGCAATGATCATGAGAACGGTGAGGAATCAGCCCAGAACTACACGGGAGGATCTTGTCAATGATCTCAAGGCAGTTGGGACCATAGTCACCAAGAAAACAATTGGTAACACACTATGCCGTGAAGGACTGAAATCCTGCAGCGCCCGCAAGGTCCCCCTGCTCAAGAAAGCACATATACATGCCCATCTGAAGTTTGCCAATGAACATCTGAATGATTCAGAGGAGAACTGGGTGAAAGTGTTGTGGTCAGATGAGACCAGAATGGAGCTCTTTGGCATCAACTCAACTCGCCGTGTTTGGAGGAGGAGGAATGCTGCCTATGACTCCAAGAACACCATCCCCACGTCAAACATGGAGGTGGAAACATTATGCTTTGGGGGTGTTTTTCTGCTAAGGGGACAGGACAACTTCACCGCATCAAAGGGATGATGGACGGGGCCATGTACCGTCAAATCTTGGGTGAGAACCTCCTTCCCTCAGCCAGGGCATTGAAAATGGGTCGTGGATGGGTATTCCATCTTGACAATGACCCAAAACACACGGCCAAGGCAACAAAGGAGTGTCTCAAGAAGAAGCACATTAAGGTCCTGGAGTGGCCTAGCCAGTCTCCAGACCTTAATCCCATAGAAAATATGTGGAGGGAGCTGAAGGTTCGAGTTGCCAAACGTCAGCCTCGAAACCTTAATGACTTGGAGAAGATCTGCAAAATCCCTCCTGAGATGTGTGCAAACCTGGTGGCCAACTACAAGAAACATCTGACCTCTGTGATTGCCAACAAGGGTTTTGCCACCAAGTACTAAGTCATGTTTTGCAGAGGGGTCAAATACTTATTTCCCTCATTAAAATGCAAATCAATTTATAACATTTTTTACATGCGTTTTTCTGGATATTTTTGTTGTTATTCTGTCTCTCACTGTTAAAATACACCTACCATTAAAATTTTAGACTGATCATTTCTTTGTCAGTGGGCAAATGTACATAATCAGCAGGGGATCAAATACTTTTTTTCCCTCACTGTATCCTAGTCTAATACAGTGGTCTTAACCCCA